TTTTCCCTTAGTCATACAGATTTTAATTTTTAAAACTTTGCATCTTTCTCCAAACTTCTCTATTTTCTAAGTTAGCGTGGCAATTCGGGGTCTCTGAAGATTTCATAGGAATTTTAGGATGGTTTTTCCTGTCTCTGCAAAAAATGATAGTAAGCAAAAATAAACATAAAAAATATTGTTTTCCAAGCTATGAACATAAGACATATTTCCAGGCATTTGTGTCTTTAGTTTCTTTCAGATTTAATACTTTTTATTGCTGTTTTAAGTGTAATATTTTCCTCTTTTCCACTTTTTGATGATTGTTTTTATTTTAGAGAAAAGGGTTTTATATATTTATGTTGTATTTAGCCTTCTTATTTACTCTCTTTTTTTCCCCCTACAAACCAGAGTCTCTTCAGTTTGGAGGGTGCCAAAACATCCACAACTGAAGACAGTTTATCTTTTTTCCAATGTTCACACTAATTATGGAATTTCTTCCTCTAATTGTATTCATTAGAACTCCAAGACAATTTTGAATAGTCTAGGTGCCCTCCCTGTCGTGTCCCAATTTAATTGAAATGGTTTGAATGTTTTACTGTTTATGATAATATTTATTGCTGTCTTTTGATAAAAATCTTTTCCTACACTTGAGTATTATTTTTATCTTTGCTTAATACTTTAATGATGGCCGAATCTTATGAACTTCTGTTCAGCATTTATTGAAATGACATCACATAGTTTTTCTTCTTTAATTGGTCATGTAATGGATCATGTTGATCTATTTCCTGATATAACTATACTTGCATTTTAAAAATCATTTATTTATTTATTTATTTATTTATTTATTTATTTATTTATGATAGTCACAGAGAGAGAGAGAGAGAGAGAGAGAGGCAGAGACACAGGCAGAGGGAGAAGCAGGCTCCATGCAGGGAGCCCGATGTGGGACTCGATCCCGGGTCTCCAGGATCGTGCCCTGGGCCAAAGGCAGGCGCCAAACCACTGCGCCACCCAGGGATCTTATTTGGTCATAATATATTATTATTCTCTTAATATGTTAATAATTCTATTTGTAGTTTTAAAAAAATATATTTTATTTTTGGGGCGCCTGGGTGGCTCAGTTGGTAAAGTGTCTCCTTCAGCTCAGGTCATGATCCTGGGGTCCTGGGATTGAATCCTGTATCGGGCTCCCTGCTCAACAGGGAGTCTGCTTCTCCCTCTCTCTCTGCCCCTCACCTGCTCGTGCTCTTTCTCTCTCTCAAATAGATAAATAAAATCTTTTTTTTTTTAAGATTTTATTTATTTATTCATGAGAGACACAGAGAGAGAGAGAGAGAGGCAGAGACAAAGGCAAAGGGAAGCAGGCTCCATGCAGGGAGCCTGACCTGAGACTCAATCCCGGGTCTTTAGGATCATACCCTGGGCTGAAGATGGCGCTAAACCACTGAGCCACCAGGGCTGCCCAAATAAAATCTTTTTTAAAAAATATTTTACTTTTTAAGTAATCTCTCCACCAGTGGGGGCTTGAACTCACAACCCTGAGGTCAAGAGTTGCATGCTCCACCAACTGAGCCAATCGGGTGCCCCTATTTGTAAATATTTTATTTATAATTTTTGCATCGATATTCATAAGTGATATCAACTTAGGGAATCTAATGTTCTTTATTTTTGGTATTTATCAGTTTTTTGTAGTAAGGCTGCTTTTTTTTAAAGATTTTATTTATTCATGAGATACAGAGAGAGAGAGAGAGAGGCAGAGACATAGGCAGTGGGAGAAGCAGGCTCCAATGCAGAGAGCCCGATGTGGGACTCAATCCAGGCATTCCAGGATCACACCTTGAGCCAAAGGCAGATGCTCAACCAATGAGCCACCCAGGCGTTCCAAGGCTGTTTCTTTACAACATGAGTGAGTTGGGAGAAATTTTCCATATTTTCCCATAACTTGTAATCTCTTATTAACACTAAAATTATATATTCTTTAGAGGTATGATAAAAAGATTTGTGAATACAATTGGTCCTGGTGGTTTTGTTTTTGTTTTGCTTCTTTTTTTTTTTAGTGGTAGGTCTTTATCTTTCCCATTTCCTCCATGAGAATAAGTCTATCCCAGTTTTTGACTTTTTGGGTCAAATTTGTTTCTATAAATTCAAATGAAATATCCTCTTACAGTTTTTCCCAGTCTTTTCTATATCAGAGTTATATTTTTTCTAATACTTTATCTTGTATATTTTTGCTGTCTTTTTTCTTTTATTAGATTCTTTCTGGATTAATTTACTTCATTGATCTTTTCAAGGAACAGATTTTTGGATTTATTTGTCCTTCTTACCATTTAAAATTTTCTAATTAACTTCAGTTTTGAGCTTTATTAATTTCTTATCTCTGATTTCTTTCATTGCTTTTTTTTAATTTCTTAGAATGGGTAGTAAATTGCTATATTTATCTTCTTTTGGTAATGAAGAAATGTAGTCTACTCATTTTTTTCTGACTATAGCTTTTTTTTTTAACCCACTTTAAAATTTTTCTTAAGATATGTTTATATATTTTAAAGCAGCAGGGGAGGGCAGCCCGGGTGGCTCAGCGGTTTAGTGCCGCCTTCAGCCCAGGGCCTGCTCCTGGAGACCCGAGATTGAGTCCCACATCCGGTTCCCTGCATGGAGCCTGCTTCTCCCTCTGCCTGTGTCTCTGCCTCTGTGTGTGTGTCTCTCATGAATAAATAAATAAAATCTTAAAAAAAAATAAAGCAGCAGGGGAGGGGCAGAGGAAGAATCTTCAAGCAAACTCCCTGCTGAGCACAGAGCCCTGGTACCCCAAAGCCACTTTTTGTAAACAGCCCTTAAGTCTATTTAAGTAAACTTTACCCTTGACATGGACTTGAACTCATAACCCCATGATTAAGACTTCATGCTTTACATACTGACTGAGCCAGCTAGGTGCCCCTCTGAGTATAGGTTTTGCTGTATTCTCTAGATTTGAATTTGAAGTTACATTAGTTAGGGCACATTTAGTTATAAATAACAAAATACCTAACTGTGATGTGAATAATGCAGACATTTATTATCTTATTTAAAAGAGATTTCAGAGGGGCACCTCGGTGGCTCAGTGGTTGAGCATCTGCCTTCAGCTCAGGGCATGATCCCGGGGTCCTGGGATCGAGTCCCACATCAGACTGAAGCTTGCTCCTCCCTTTGCTTGTGTCTCTGCCTCTATCTATGTGTCTCTCATGAATAAATAAATAAAATCTAAAAAAAAAAAAAAAAAAAGCAACAACAAACCCAGTAGCTATTTTCTTACGTGTGATGGGTCCTAACTGGATCACATGGCTACTCCTAGCTTTAAGAGAGGCTAAAAAAGTGGCAAAGGGGAATAGAATTACATGACAGACTCGGGCCAACCCTGATGCTTTCCCTGGGCTATAAGCATTGCCACACCAACCAAACATAGTTTCTAATCATTTTTCCTTTATGTATATATTTGGCGGCTATGTTGTTTGGCACGTACAAGTCTATGATTATTTTGTTTCATTGTTCCCCTGTGCCGTTAGGCTAAGCCTGTCCTCAACCTGTTTGATTCATTCAGTGTACCTTGTGTGATCGTGCTGCTATCGCTTTCTTCTTAAATTTTAGTTTGCCTGGTTTCTTTGTTCATTTCTTTCATTTTCCTTTTTTTTTTTAAAGATTTTATTTATTTATGCATGAGAGAGACACAGAGAGAGAGAGGCAGAGACACAGGCAGAGGAAGAAGCAGGCTCCCTGTGGGGAGCCCAATGTGGGACTCGATCCCAGGGCCCCGGGATCATGACCTGAGCCAAAGGCAGATGCTCAACCACTGAGCAACCCAGGCTTCCCCATCCCTTTCATTTTCAATCTGTTTCCTTCCTTTTTTTTTTTTTTTCAGAGTGCTTCTTGGAAGCAGCATGGAAGAATTTATTCTGTTCATATTTAGTGCTATACATTTGATTTTACTCTTTCATCTTAGGTTGTGTTCATTTTTTTGAGAGTGTGCATATGTGTGAGAGGGGGGCAGATGGAATGGGGGTGGACAGGAGGGGCAGAAGGAGAGGGAGAGAGAGAATCTCAAGCATGTTCAATGCCCAGTGCACCGCCTGACACAGGATTCGATCTTGCTACCCTGAGATCATGACTTGAGTGGAAATCAGGAGTCTGACACCTAACTCATGAGCCACCCAGGCACCCCTGCTGTGTTCATTATTTATTGTCACCCATTTCTTCTCCTTTCCTTTTCTCCATTCTGGGGGTCGGGTGGGTGTTGGCAGTGGAGGCAGCCAAGCAGAGGCCCTGGGTCAGCGCCTGGCTTCTAGGTGCGGCTTATGCAGGTGGAGCGTGCTGCCACTGGCAGTGCCACCTTCATGAAACCAGCTCTATAGCATAGTTGGGAGGGCTCCTTCCTGCTTGGAAGCCTCCAAATCTAGCTTTCCCTCTTTCCTAGAGCTTCAAGGGTACTCCTAACATCTTTTTAACAAATCTTTTTTTTTCTTTTCCTGTTTTCATCAGCCGGAGTTGGCTCTTATTGCTCCAACTAAGAGCACCCAATAACACTGCTCCAAGTGGTTTTATTTATCCCTCCAGGCAATTCTATGAGCCACTGCATGTGCCCAACTATTTCACCTTATTTATTTAGATGGCTAGGAGATACTGGGAAGGAACAGAGGATAGAGGGGAAGACAAAATGATCCAACTATTCCAGACTTGAGAGGGAATTCTCAGATACATTTTTTTCTTGGTGCAGTAGAATAAAAAGGCCTTTCCTTATACTCATTTTTTTTAATTGAGGGAAAATCCCGATTTCCCTTTTAGAAAGTAATCCAACTTCTACAGACTTACACATTCTCTTTATTTTCTCAATTATAAAAATATATACCCACTTATAAAAGGAAACAAAAGAATGAAGGAGGAAAGGAGAGGGTTAGATGAGCCTGCAGAGCTCACAACCTGCTCCTCAGAGGCAGCAGTTTATGAACCGCTGAGATGCTTCAGGAATGGAGTTGGGGGGCCCGATGCTCATTAAAGTCTCAAATTTCTGAAGTCATTCTCTAAATTGTTCAGGGGCTGTTGAGAAAGAGAAAAATTAGAAGTGTCACTGGCAGCCAGGGGTGTGGAGTGCAAGCCAAGGAGAGCGGATGAGAAGAGGCGGGGAGGTCTCAAGGGAAACAGAAAACTGACAAGATTCTAAGAAAAGGGAGATAAAGGAACTAAGGATAAGAATCCTAAGAAAAGGGAGCCCTGGGTGGGGTGAGGGGAAGCGTGTAGGCAGGGAGAGAAAGGTAATGGGGACAGTGGGGACCTGCACCTGCAGCGAGAACAGCTTCTCACCTGGAGGATCCTCTGGAGCCGACGGCCTATGCTTTCACTGTACTGCTTCAGCTTGTACCAGGGCTGGAAAGGCCTGCCCTCGTGGTCCACAAACTTCTCCCAGCAGTCCTCAAACTCTGAGATGAAAGAGAGAAGGCAGTCAGGTTCCGGGGGTGCGGGACAGCAGCAAGCCTGCCCTCTGTGGGCCCAGGGACTCCTCCGTCCTTTGCCCTTCCTGGGGGTATCACAGCCTGGGCCTTAGCTGGGCCACCACCCTTCCATCCAGCCACCCCCCTCCCTTCCCCCAGGAGCTCTTCTCTCTTGGAGCTGCAAACCTTCCCATCCCCTGGCAGCTCTGCTGTCTCCCTACCCAGGTAGCTCATGACGGCCAGGGAGATCCTAGATTCCTGCAGGTGCCTCAGTCCCCGCTTATGCTTCCGGCGCCAGTGGAAGTACAGGCGGGAGGCAAAGAGCCTCAGGCTGATGTGGGGGTGATCTTTGACAAACGCAACCAGTTTCTTGGCACAGGTGGGGCAGGGGCTCCATGTGACATAGCAGGTGATTTCAAATCTCTGGGATGGGTCTAGTTGTCGTGACTTTATATCGTCAATAAAGCAAATTTCTGCATGGCGCTTTTCCTAGAGAGGGTCCCAGACGGAGAGAAGAAAGGCTTGGTTACCGGGCAGAGGCCAGAGGTCCCATGCTATGGGCACCACTGGGGAGAAGGGGCTCCGCCCTGTGAACTTGCCTAAGACAGGGAAAGAACCTCCCTCCCTGCATTCTCTCACTCATCCATTAGTTCAGCACCCCAAAGCATCAGCAACTTGGTCAGAATCAGACCAGGTCCCCGAGAGGAGACGGGTTGGCAAACAGACACCCCCACGGCACGGTCCCAGATGCTCTGCAGACCCCACCTATTGGATATCTGGAGATATTCGAACATGGGGTTCCCCAGGAGCAGGTCAGAATGAGAGGGAGGCGGGGCAGCGCAGGTGGGAAGGTGGGCAGAAAAGCAGAGGGCAGGTGTATGAGGGAGTTGGTGCAGGTGGAGTTGAGTGTTTGGTCCTTGGAAGACAGCTTAGCTTCTCAGAAGCAGCGACAGAGCTGACGTCCGGAGGACAAGTAACAATTTCTTTAAGAGGGGCGGGAAGAGCATTCTGCTGGAGGGACTGGCTTCTGCGGAGGCGCAGAGCTTCTGGGAAGCAGGGCTGAGACTTATGTAAGCCTCGGGATTTCTCCCACCAGCCTCGTGTCCAGACGGCCCGCGTGGCACCTGATTTTGAAGGCAGACTTTGGCAATGATGGAGCCTTCCTGTGGCTTCAGCTGGTAGCACAGGTAGGTCCTCCTCTGGTAGGATGGCTTTGGGACCCGTTGGTTGCTGAACTGCTGGCGGAATGTTTCTTCTTGTAGTGGATTCATCGTGGTTCTGGGCAAGAGGAAGAAAACCAAAGATGCAGAGGGCACCTTCTGGTGTCACCCCAGGCTCTGTCTGAACCCAACTCCTTGAGTACATTTGGGCCCTTGTGGTGAGGAGGGAAAGGACATTCTCCTCTTTCTTTGTCGGCCAGGAGGCCTGGGGCAGGAGAAGGAAAAGGGGGAGGTCTCCCACCTGCACACAGCCCCATCGCCAGTCTGGTGGAGCATCCACCACCCCCAGCTCTAGGCCACCGCAGGCAGGATGCCTTGGGTTGGGTGGGGAAAACTAGACGTCATGTGTCCTTTGGCTCACCCATCTTTGTTCTGTGCCCCAAGACCCCTCTGTTCAGGTCCCCATAGGCATCTCAACCCTGACATGTCCCATTCCAGAACCCTTCTCTTTGGGGAGGGAGGGGACTTCTTTTAACTCTGGTACTTCTTTTAACTCTGTGCTCTTTTGCTTAGGCGTGGGTATCACAATTTTGTCTGTTCAAAGTGCAGACAGGCTGGTGAACAGGAAAATCTGCTGTCACCAGGGATTGTTGTGACAGACTTTGGCTAAAGGATTCACATAGCTTTTCCACCCCTGGTTGTGATTATACTCTACAGTATAATCTACAGCTTTTTTTTTTTTCAGTTCCAGAGTGACCTGGCTCATGCGGGTACGCGTGCACAGGTTCTTTCTGATAAATGCTGTTGGCTCCGCAAACATACAAGTAGGTGAACAGAACTAGGAGCCTTCCTGCCGGCACCCAGAGAGGGGCATGAAAGCTCCATCTGGGGGCACCTGGGTCATTCAGTCTGTTCAGCGTCTGCCTTCAGCTCAAGTCATGATCCTGGAGCCCCAGGGTCAAGCCCCATGTCTGGCTCCCTCCTCAGCAGGGAAGTCTGCTTCTCCCTCTATCCCTCATCCTGCTCGTGCTCTTTCTCACTCTCTTTGTCTCAAATAAATAAAATCTTTTCAAAACCACAAAAATAAAAAGAAAGCTCCATCTGGCAGAGCCCCACTGTGTGTAGATATTGCTGACTGAGCAGATGCCAAACAGTCTGAACTAACTGGGGAAGCCTGATGGAGCCCCAGGCCATTCTCCTTCTGGACACTCCACCCAAAGCTGATGTGACCTGGCTGGCCACTGAGTCTGGCTTAGGGGACCACAGACACTTGGAACCCAGCACAGGAATCAAGCCAAAGGTGCTATTCCTCAGGGCACAGACTATGGGGTGCAGGTGATTTCCATACCATGCTCCTGCAAGACCAGAAATGCCTTCCCTATATTTCCAGCTAACTCCTCGAAACACCACTGATTCCACCAACAAAAAACCATGTCAGTCATCTGTTATGCTAATTAACAAAGCCACTGATTTCATCAACGGAAACCCATCTCTGTTACCCCTTATGCCCTAGTAAAACTTCGGGTGCATTTGGATGACTGTCACTGAAAATGCCATCTCTGGATCGTGGCCTTGGATTACCTGCCAGTGACCTCACCCGAAGCTGCTACTCTCAGGGCAACTGGCTGCCCTCAGCCCAAGGATTAGAATGAAAACTTCCATTCATAGCACAACCAAGGGCCCTGTGGCATCCTGATTTTAACACTGAGGTTCCCACGTTCTGGGAAACTCCCCAGACCCTGGCAAACCCAGACACTCAGGGCTGAAATATTTCAAATTTTAGATAAATGCACTATTTTATTAGCACAAAACTTGAATCGCTAAAATTTAGGCATGACAGAAACAACTCATAAGAAGTATTTAAAGGCAAAAAAAAAAAAAACAGAAGTCTTTAAAGGCGAATTTAATTTTCCACACTTGGTAGTGTCTTCATGGGAAACGATTTATCTTCTTGTCTTGGAGATGGGTTTTCCCTCCACAGAACAGAAATGAGACCATCCACAGAATTAAGTCTGCAGAAAGGCATGAAGCCCACAGTTTCAAGATTGCTGGGGAAAAAGCTGGGAGGGAACTCAGAGGATGCTTTGCTTAAAAGGATGGACATTACCCAGGGAATATAGTCTACACAGTCCCCATAGCCACTAAGTGCTTGGGTTCTGCCTCCGCTAACAAAGCCAGCATCACTGATGGGACGTTGCTGAGGTGGTTTTCAGACCTGGACCAGGGAAGCAAGTATGACCACTGACCACAATCTGGATGAAGCCAGACCGTTTGATACCAGAAAGACAAATTAATCAGTCTTGAAGTTTACCTAATCTCTGCTCGATCAGAAGAATCCATGACCCTGGACCCCTTACCCTTCATTTTTGCCCTTAAACACCATCAGGGAGTTCCAGCATCAGCTCCCCGCTCTCCTGGGTGGCACCGTATCCATAACTAGTCTGTCTCTTCACCACGGAAACCCAGTGTCGGTTTTTTATTGACTTCCTGAGCGTCAGCCAAATGAACCGTTGTTTGAGGCAGTTATAGAAATTAGAACATTCTTTGCAAAATTGTGCACGTCTTTAAAATAAAACTTACAAATATGCTTTTATAGCCAACCCCAATGTCTCAATCATCCTTGAATCTAAAGTCTATAATAGCCAAGCTTAAACAAGCCACTTGAGGAAGACCCAGTGGCCACGCCTATAGGATGTGGCCAGGGAGGCAGAGACCAGCAGCTGGAGGCCAAGGGGGTGGGGGTGGGGGCATGGGGCGATGGGCACCTGCCCAGGCAGTGCCCACAGGCCAGAGGCAGGAGCAGACCCTGCTGACAGGGTGTTAGAGAGGGAGACAAGTCGCACTGGGAGCAGGAAGGAGGCACAGAGCACAGCAAGCAATGGTACCTGGTCCTCGCAGCCCCATCCTGGGCTCCCTAGCAGGCTCATCCCACCCCAGCCTGGGCCCTGGGCTCTGCAGCCCACTTCCCTCTCCCAAGGCTGTTCTTGGCCTTGGGAAAGCCCTTCATCTGTGAGTGTCCTCCCTCCCCTTTCTGCCAGACAAAACCTGGGGTGAGAGGCCCCTGGTCTGATCTTGCTTCTTTTGGCTTCCATCCTGCCTTCTTCCCTCCCGACTTATCTGACCCTGGGAGTCCCTACCCAGCTGCCTCTTCTCAGCGGGCTTGTCCCAGCTCTGCCCTTTGTTGGGCACCAGCCCTTTCTTACCAGTCTTGCTTTCAGAAAGTCCCAATCTGGAGTAACCTCCCAGGCCTCCACGGAAGCCCCACCTCCTTCCTGCTTTGGCCTCGGGGTGGGGAGGGCCCTCGGATGGTGGCACTTCCTCAGGCTCAGCTGCCCTCCCCTCAGATGGAGACAAGCCCCGCTGTGTGCCCGGGGAAAACCCAAGTTATTGCAAAGAGAAAGAGAAAGTAGGATGCCCCTGGGGGCCTGGGGTGGACTGGCTGCAGAGAGCAGGACTGGGGCTGGCTCCCAGGAGAGGCAGGCTCTCTGAGGAGTGGGGAGCCCTGTCCTCATCACCTCTGTGTTGCCCTTAAGAGTCATTCAGTATCTGTCATGACTCTGGGAATCTGGAAACTGAGGTGAGGTCTGTGGGTCAGATCTTCAACTCCAACCTTGGAGAAGGCAAGTGTGTTGAGCAGATCCTGTACTCCATCCTCTACCACAGCCTCTGATAGCTTCAGTAAGGGCCTATCATGATCCTGACATCTCAGATGAGGTCCCAGCACAGAGAGGCTAAGATACTCTCTGGAGCCACCCAGCAAACAAATGGCGGAGCTGGAATGCCTGCCCAGGGGTGAGGCCTGGCTTCTCCTACTTCCTCATTATTCTGTGAATAGGAGTTGGGGAGTGGGGCACAAGAGCAGGGGCCTTGTTGCCCCCAGAGGCTTCCCAGGTCAGGAATCAGGGACCTGGACCTGAAGTGTATTTCCTGAAAGCTATCTGCTTGTCTTGTCACATGTCTGCCAAGATCCCCAGATGTAAAAAGAAAGAGCAACTGGAGAACTCAAATCCTAGAGAGGAGGTCTTAGAGCAGCCACCTGTCACCCCCAGTCCAGATCACATACACACATGAGTCCCCAGAGAACTTCTCCCAGTTGGTGGGCACCCCCGCAACCCACCTCATTTTGCCCTACAGGCCCTGGGATGCCCTCAAGGGGGTAACAAGAGCATGGGCAAGAGTTGGAGGATCCAAGGGAATGGTGTCCCCTCCACTGCCATCTGTTCTAATGTCCAGAGGCCCCAGCCAATGGAAGAAGATTCCAGAAAGAGCTGGGCCCAGGCTCTTCCAAGAGAGTGATCAGATCTGCATACTCAGGTGTTGGTCAAATTGACAGCTAAGGCGCCTCTGGCCTGAGAAGCAAGAAGGGTGGACAGGACGGCTGACACCCTCCACTGGCCTTTCCCTAATGACTGCACTCCCGCTGCTCGGCCTGGGGAATTCCTGCTAGCTGGCTGAGACTCTGGGCTGAGAGCAGGGATGTGCGAGAGCAGGAAGGGGACTGTTGTGGAGGAGAAGTCCCAGAAGCCTCCAGGGATCTCTAGGACTGTCCTTCTGCTTTGTTCTTTCTCCTCTACAAGGAGGAGATATTTTGAGCTGACCCCTTAGGCCCATTTTGACGACCCAGACAGTCCAGAGGGGTGTCGTCCATGTGTGTTCCTCTCCACTTGGAGGCTGGGCGGCCACAGCTCTCTGCCCCCAGGCAGCAGTATAGACGGAGGGGGAGGGAAGGGGCAGGTGTCTGCGGCCACCAACAATCCACCCTGGCCAGCCAAGACCAGAGGGAGAAACAGCCGGTCCGGTCTGTATGGGACCCAAGACGTTCTCCACAATGATTTTAGGGATGTGTTCCAAACCGAACACCTGCCCGCTTGCTGTCCCTTCCTCAGCTGCCACCTGCCCAGAATGCCACTGGCTCAGGATGGTCTCTGGCTCCTTTTCGCCACGCCCTGGGCCAGGCCACCCGGTGCGGGCCCTGCCATCTGCTTTCCACCCAGTATGTGCACATGGGGCTCTGTGGTCCAGGAATCACAGGCCCTCTCTGTTTTACCTCTTCTGCTTGTGCTTCCCTGTCTCCCCGACTTGATTCTCAGCCACCTGCCACATTTTATTCTGCTTTTTGGGAAAAGTTCTGATGATCCCGGTCCTCCCATATCCAATCCTACATTAAAAAAAACAAACAGGGATCCCTGGGTGGCGCAGCGGTTTGGCGCCTGCCTTTGGCCCAGGGCGCGATCCTGGAGACCCGGGATCGACTCCCACGTCGGGCTCCCGGTGCATGGAGCCTGCTTCTCCCTCTGCCTATGTCTCTGTGACTATCATAAATAAATAAAAATTAAAAAAAAAAAAAAAACAAACAAACAAACAAACTCACCTTATTTACATGTAAACTACATAATTACTGTCTTGCCCACTCCCTGTTGCTATGCCCAGGCTGCAACCTGTCCAGAGCTTCCCCTTTGGCAGCAACGTGGGAAGGGGAATAAGGGACGGGGGGAGTGAGAGCAGGTGTGGCGGTGACCTGAAGAGGCAGTGCGAGGGTGAGCCAGGGGCAAGTCAGGCATAACCCAGGAGACAGAGACGCAGAATAAGGATCCCGCTTTTGCCCACATCTTCAGCTCAAGAAGGCCCTGGGTCATTGTCTGGGTTGAACCATGTGCCCCCCACATCCATCAGCCAAAGTCCCAACCCCTACTGCCTCAGGATGCGACTATATTTGAGGCACAGACTTTTAAAAGATGGTTGTTAAGATGAGATCCTTAGGGTGGGACAGAATCCAGTCTGCCTGCTGCTGTTAGGAGAAAAGGAGCAGGGGACACAGAGGGTCACCAAGGGCTCACCAAGCACAGAAGCCCTCGCACAAGAACGTGCTCTCACCGACGACCCTTGTTCTCTGGTAAGTCACATCCTGGGGAAGGATGTTCCTCCCATCTTCTGACTTTAACCCTTAGACATATTCATGCCTGTTTACCTTCAGTTTATTAACAAGGTTTGGTTAATGTGGTGAGATGGGAAGAGCCAGGTTGGGGGGGCTCGTGGGGAGGGGGAGGGAGGCCTCCAGGGAGGAGGGAGGATGCTCAGGAGGAAAGTGCAGGCATGGGGGGTGGCAGTGCTGAGGGGCTGGGGAGGGAGGTGAAGGTGGCTGGAGCCCAGGAGGAGGAGCAACATTAGCAGGGAGAGGAAGGGAGGTTGAGGACTCCCTCACCCAAGAATTTTGTCAAGCTCTGTGGCCAGCTGATGATAATGTTTTAGTAGATTCCGCCTCTGGAAGGGCATCCCCTGGTGGTGCACGAAGTTTTTCCAACAGTATTTATAATCTGAGGTGAAGACAGAAGAGACCAGTCAGGTGGGCCCTGGGAGGCCTTCTTCTCCTGAATCTCTCATACCCTCCCTACCAGATGCCACCAGTCCTGCCTCAGTTTCCCAGGCTGTCTTCCCACTCACTCTCCCTAGGGACATTCTGGATCCTCCCCTATCCCCACCCTGGTCCTACTCCCTCCCACAGTCCTGTCCCCAGCTCCTTCTGCTCTTACCTTCAAAGCACATGATGTCCACCTGGACCCCTGCACGGCATAGCCTCTGAAGCCCATCCTGGAAATCTGAGTGCCAGAAGTAGTAGAGGCGGGCGGTGAAGATGCTCAACGTCACGTTCCTGTATTCCTGTAGGAACCTAAGTATCTTCTCTGCACAGGTGGGGCAGGGGCTCCAGGATAAGTACCAGGTGACATGGTACTTATGCTTGTAAGGGGACAGATTCAAGTCACGGAACCAAGAAAGGAAGCGGGATTCTGCATGGCAGCGAGCCTGAGGATAGACCTGCGAGAGAGGAGAAGAGAAGGGGATACTCTTGGCTGGCAGAGCAGGGAGTATGGCAGGGCCGGGTGCCATGGGAGGACGGGCGAGGGTGCAGGAGTCCCGGGGCCATGCTGTCCATTGATTTATCCCCCCATTCCATCTCTCCCCACTCTGTCTTTTTTTCACTGAGCCATCCCTTCCCACAGTCCTCAACCATCCATCAATTCCAACTTCCACTCTCCATCCATCCAACATCTAGTCTCCATCTATCCATCCATCTATCCATCCGTCCGTCCATCCATCCATCCATCCATCCATCCTACAGGCATCCTACTGGCCCCAGGCTAAGCCCTCTGAATCCAGGCTAGTTTTGTGGGTGCTGTCTGCTGGGGAGGGCCACACAGCCATGCTGCCCTGCAGGGAAACCACTAGCCGCACGTGTCTCCAGAGCACTTAATGTGTGGCTTGTCTGAATTGAGATGTGGGGCAAGTGTAACATGCACATCTCATTCCAACAGCATAGGAAAAAAGAATGTAGGTAACCTCATGAAGAATTTTTATATTAACTATAACTTGAAATAATCTCTTAGATATATCATCCAATACATTATCAATACTAATTTCACCCTCCCTTTTTTTACCCCTTGAACACTGGCTACCAGGAAAAGTTAAGTGACATATGTGACTCCGATGATGTTTCGATGGGTTAGTACCACTAGTGCATACCCCAACCCAGCCCATATGGCTCTCTCTTGCAAACAGGCTCTGAAAAGTCTGCAATGTCAGGGGAGAGGAGAGGGCAGGCGTGGGGTGGGATATCTCTCAGCAGTGGTGTGTGGTTAGGGGGCAGGGCTGCAGGGGGGTGGCCTGGCTCTAGTAACTGCTGAAGCTGGTCATTGGTGCCGTGGCAGCCTTCCAGGGACACCTGACTGTGGCTGGGAGGAGGCCGGGGGCAGGCAGACGAGGGATGTGGGTTCTCCCCTGAAGGGATCACAGGTCCTGGGCACAGAAGAGTCAGTGGTGTGGCAGGGGGACGACTTGACTGGCAGGACCATAACCAGGGCCTGGTGTTCTGGTGTCCAATAGGCCTGGACTTTCTAAAAGCACTCTTTCATCAAAGACTGCTGGGGTCAAGCTCCATGACAAGACTTGGAGACAAATACCAGTCAGCTCTCAGAACAAGGTTCATAGGATAATCAAATGCCATGCTGTATCCAGTTCCAGGACTGTCAAGCAAGGAGTTCATGGGCCAGCGTCTTGGGACAATGTAGTGGGAAAGAGCATGCATCACTGAGATTCCCCATCTGGCATCTTATTCCATCCTTTTCCACCTTCCCAACTGATGCAGCTCCTGCCGTAACAGGCCTTACCTTGTTTTGAAAGACGCCCGAGTCCCAGTACTCATAGTCATGCCAGGGATACCTCTCTCTTTCCACTTGGAAGCAGAGGTAGCAGAGATTCCGCCCAGAGGCGTAGAGGAGGCTTGGAAAGTGGAAGAAGAAGGTTCCAGGATCTATCCTGTCCATTGGGCTTCTAGTGGGGGAAAGACAGGAAACAGAATTCGATGAGTTTTCTTGGGATTGTCCCTGGCTGCTGGCCTCCCTCGGGGCATGGGGACTCCCTGCCCCCGAGCATTGCCTGCTGCTTTTCCAGGGGGGACAAGGATGGGGTGGGGTGGGGGCTTCTCTCAAGGGGCCCCTGCAGAACTGCTCCTTTCAGCACACTCATCCCACAACCTGTTAGAAAAATAGCAAAGAGAAATAGGAACCCTCCCTCCCCAGGGAGCAGCTTTTCTAATACTTCAATTCATTCCTGATTTTTTACCTACACATTCTTTTTTTAAAAAAGTATCAGATTAATGCATAAATTCAGGGATTCAGGCTACTGTTCTAAGAGCTTTAAATTTCGGAACTCAGAGTCCTCCCCAGATCTCTTGGGAGCCACCCCCCACCCTAGAGGAAAGGAAGCCTGGCCAGCTGAAGTGGAGCAGCCTAGCCTAGCCCAGGGTTAGTAAGTGATGGGGCTGCTGTCCCTGTCCCCAGGCGGGCCATTTCCAGCAAGGTCCTCCCATGACTGCTGTGGCCTCAGAGTGCAATCCTAGAAGTGCCTTTTTTTCCTACTTCATTTTAAATATGTGCATTTCTCCTCATCTTGACATCCTTCTCCCATTTGCACTCTGGGGTAGTTACAAACATGAAGAAAGCATGAAGCTCGGTGACCTAGGTTGTGGGTGAGGTTGAGAACAGGCTGCATCTACCTGTCTGCCCGCGGCTGGGCGAGCCCTGAACAGGCGAGGTCTTTCTCACCTCTGAAGAAGCTAGACTGACACCGTGTTTATAATGGTTCCAATATCAAAGAGAAAATAGACCAGAATGCTTTAAACTCAAACCACCAACCCCGTTGCCCATCCTCCAGTTCAATTCTGAGTGTTAACAGAGCACAGGAACTTCCGGAAGCCTCCAAGGGTGGCATCACTGGGGCCCAGGCAGGAACCGACATGCCCAACAGACTTTCAGACCCAGAGGCGCTGGCCTGGAGGACCGCAGGGCTGGGTGGAGGTGCGCGCGGGGCATGTTCGGAGGCAACAGTGGGAGCATCCCCAGAATAGGGCCAGGACCCAGGCAGGAGTGGGCCCTGTGGAGAACTTGGAGGCCAGAGAGGGAGAGAAGGGAAGCCAAGATTCATTCATTGGGACCCGGGGTGGGCCACCAGGAAGGAGGGGCTGCTAGAGGAGGCCCAGCGTGGGGTGGGGAGGGGGGCACAGCTGTACCTTGGGCGGTGGCCACCGAGGCTCCAGGGCTCCATTCCTCTCATTGGCCTCGCTTTAGGAAAGCCCCCGATCTGACACCTCCCAGGCCGCCTCCACGGAGGCCCCACCTCCTTCCTGCTTTGGCCTCGGGGTGGGAGGGTCCTCGGCTGGTGGCGCTTCCTCAGGCTCAGCTGCCCTCCCCTCAGATGGAGACAGGCCCCGCTGTGCGCCCGGCAGGACCCGTTATTGCAAAGAGAAAGAGAAAGTAGGATGCCCCTGGGGCCTGGGGCAGACTGGCTGCAGAGAGCAGGACCAGGGCTGGCTCCTGGGAGACGACGAAGGCTCTCTGAGGAGTGGGGAGCCCTGTGCTCATCACCTCTGTGCTCCCCAGGCGGGCCGAGGGCCTCTCTCCACATGCCTCTGGAGTGAACAGGGGAGAAGAAGGAGTGCAGATCTTTTGTCAGGCCCCCTACCCCGTGTTTTCTCCTGACTCCACAGCAAACGGGCTTCGGGCTTCGAGTTCCTAATTCTGTGGCTGGTCCTCTGCTGAAGGCCCCCTCCGCCTTCACTTGGCAGAGCAGATAGAGGGACAAATGGAGAAGGAGACAGAGGGAGAAGGAGGAACAGTTTTACTTTCTCTTCATCTTCTTAGAAGGACACAAATCCCCTCATGGGGCCCACCTCATGCTGTCGTCTAAACCAAATCACCTCAGAGACCCCCACCCTTACCCTGAACCCTATCACACTGGGGGTTAGGGCTTCATTTTTTTTTTTTTAAGATTTTATTTTTTTTATTCATGAGAGACAGAGAGAGAGAGAGAGAGGCAGAGACACAGGCAGAGGGAGAAGCAGGCTCCATACAGGGAGTCCGACGTGGGACTCGATCCTGGGGCTCCCGGATCACACCCTGGGCCAAAGGCAGATGCTCAACCACTGAGCCATCCAGGCGTCCCGGGGGTTAGGGCTTCAACATATGAGTTCAGGAGACACAGAAGTCAGCCCATGACACTTGTGACTGACAGGCTTCCTTTCTTTGGCTGAGGGACAGGATGACTGACCTCAGCAAGGGGTGAGCGCTGCCTCACACAGAGCTGAGTCTCCAGGCTCTGTGGTGGCCTTTCTGGATGGAGGTCAGAGGTTGGACGTCGGAGGTCATGCTCCTTGCTACCTCCCGGGAGACCCAGAATGTTAGTGATGGTAGCTGGGCCAGTGCTGTCCCCAGGGTGATGGGGCTTTCCTGGTAGGAATAAAAGAAGCAAAGATGTGTTGGCTGGGAAGGAGATGCATAGCGAAGGCAAATCAAGGAGTTGTCTCTGAAGCTGGTGTCTCAGGTGGAGACTGTAGGGAGTCTTCACCCTCTGCCCTGTGTGTAATCCTGACAAAGGGGTGTTGGGAACTGGCTGCCTCCTCCTGCCTCCCCTACCTGGGCTCTTTGGCTATGCAGTTTCCCTTGGCTGCTTCTTTACCCTTTATTACGAGGTCCAGCCTTGACAAGGTGCATTTCCAAATCATCATGGAGATAGATCCCCTTGGGCTCTGTCTCAGCTTTGAGAGAGAGAGAGAGAGAGAGAGAGAGAGAGAGAGAGATGAAGGCCAATGCCCCATCCAGGTGAACTGAGGGTAAAATCAACACGTGGCTATCTGAGGGTCCCATGAAGAACTTGGCTGCACTTGGTCTGTCTCCCCACCCTCACCCTGGGTGTTTTTCTGCATTTCCAGTCAATCTCTGGTTCCCAGAGACTCAGCTGTTCCCTCAGAGCACCGCCGGCCCTTCTCAGGAGCACTGGTGCCTGCATGAGCCAAGGAAACTAGAATGGAAAGGCAGGACTCTGGAAGGACCCACAAGAGGCACAGGGACGGTGCAGTGGGCTGCTGGTGTCAGGAGCAGAAGCAGAGCCCATGTGTCTGTTTTGATCCACAGCTGGGGAACCCCCAATCCCTGTCCCCTGTCACTGACTGTGTGGCCTCTAGGTCAAGGTCAGCTCCGAGGGTCGGCTCAGGTGAGGCAGGTCCCTGCTGAACAGTCAGAATCCAGGAGTAGAGAACAGGAGATCCGGTCACGAGTGCAGTGTCGTGTCCACCTGCCCAGCCTTTTTTTGTGTTATGTGAGTTTCACCTCAGTAAATCAAAAAAGAGAGAGCACTGAATAAACCCCAAAATGTCTGAAATTGGCCCTTTTAGATCAACATGAATTTATGGGCAAGCTTTTTCATGTTCCATGACAAATCCTACTATCAATGTGCAGATTAATTGGGAAGCATGGACATCTTCCTGGCACTGAGGGTCTTTATTCATTAACATGGTATATACCTGAATTTATATGTCTTCTTTTTCTTTTTTTTAATTAAGATTTTATTTATTTTTTCATGAGAGACACACAGAGAGAGGCAGAAACACAGGCAGAGGGAGAAGAAGCAGGCTCCCCGAGGGAAGCCTGATGTGGGACTTGATGCCAGGACCCCAGGATCACACCCTAGGCCAAAGGCAGCTACCCAGGCGTCCCTCTTTTTATGTTTTTAATGAGTCTTGTACTTTTTCATAAAGGTCTCACACATTTTGCTAGATTCACTTCTTGTAAACTTTTTGGGAGCTATTGTAGCTTTCAACTACCTTTACACTTTTTTTTAAAAAAAGATTTTATTTATTTATTCACGAGAGACACAGAGAGAGAAGAGAGATAGAGGCAGAGACACAGAGGGAGAAACAGGCTCCATGCAGGGAGCCCGACGTGGGACTCAGTCCCGGGTCCCCAGGATCATACCCCAGGCCGAAGGCAGGCACCAAACTGCTGAGCCACCAGGGCTGCCCTACCTTTACACTTTTTATTGCTAGTATCTGGGAACACTATTAATTTTCCTTTTTTTTTCCAAGATTTTATTTATTAATTCATGAGAGACACACACACACACAGAGAGGCAGAGACACAGGCAGAGGGAGAAGCAGGCTCCACGCAGGGAGCCCGAAGTGGGACTCCATCCCAGGTGTCCAGGATCGGGCCTGGACTGAAGGTGACGCTAAACCGCTGAGCCACCGGGGCTGCCCCACTATTAATTTTCCTAAATTAAAGTTGGATATATACCAGCCTCACTGAGAACTTGCTTACTATTTCTTTTAGTTTCCGTTCTTTTGCAACCCCCACAGCTCTTGTCCTTTATTGAGGCTCCTGGGACACTGGCTTGAACAATGGCACTCATAAAGGAGACTTTTTTCTGTCCTTCCATTTTAAGAGAAATTCTTCTAAGAGGGAAATAGAAAATTTTAAGTCCCATATTCTTTATCTTTTTTTAAATAATCTTTTTGAGTATAGTTGAAATCCTATATTCTTTAAATCTTTCTTGGCTTGATATTTGTTTGCTAACAGTTTAATTATGATTTTTGCATCTATATTTATAAATAAATATGGCTATAATTTTTCTCACTCATCTTCTTAGTTAGTTTTATTATTTTTTTTATTTTTAAGTAATCTCTCCAACATGGGGCTCGAACCCACAACCCTGAGACCAAGAGTCACATGCTCCACTGACTGAGCCAGCCAGGCACCCTCTTCTTATGTAGTCTTTTTTTCTTCTTCTTCTTTTCTTCTTCTTCTTCTTCTTCTTCTTCTTCTTCTTCTTCTTCTTCTTCTTCTTCTTCTTCTTCTTATGTAGTTTTGAATCAAGATTATTATATCTGCCCAAAATCAACTGGGGAGGTTTTTTTTTTTCTAATTTCTTAGGAAAGTTCAATTCTAATCTTTACATGGTTGATTGAACTTACCATAAAATATCTGGAGCTGGTAATCTGATATTTGTTTATGTGGTCATTTTAAGGAAAAATTTCATTTCTTTAATGGTTTATGGTTAACGCAGGTGTTGCATTTCTTTGGGTATCATTTTTATCATATTTTTTTTCTGGAAGTTGTCCATTCAGCCTCATTTTTCAAACTGATTGGTGTGTGTTTATAGTATTTTCTTCAGACTTTCTACAGCTCTATAAAAGACAACCTCAGGGGTCCCTGGCTGCCTCAGTCAGTGGAGCAGGTGACTCTTGGTCTCCAGGTTGTGGGTTTCAGCTATGTTGAGTATAGATTACTTTAAAATCTTAAACAAAAGATGAGGGCCCTTGGATGGCTCAGTTGGCTAAGCATCTGCCTTTGGCTTGGGTCATGATCCCAGGGTCCTGGGATCAAGCTCCACATCAAGCTCTCTGCTCAGCAGGAAGCCTGCTTCTCCCTCTCTCTCTGCCCTCCTCCACCCCCTCATGTTCTCTCTCACTCTCTATCTCAAATAAATAAAAATGAAAAATAAAATCTTAAAAAAAGATGATCCCATTTTTTACTCATAATTTTATTTATTTTTGCTTTCTCTCAATTATTTTTTTCAAAGTACTAGGTTTTGATTTTGATGCTTTTGTTATTCCCTTTTCACACATACATATATATAAAATCTCCCACATCTTTATCTGTTCATCAATCAGTTGGACACATAAGTTGTTTCCATATCCTGGCTATTGTGAATAATACTGCAATGAACACAGAGGTGCAACTAGCTCTTCAAAATATTGATTTTGTTTCCTTTGGATATTGTTACAAGCACACTATGAAGGTGCACACATGAGTTGTCTTTCCGAAATGCCAGCCTTATCGAGTCATAAAGCAGGGTTAATCACACTGTAAAGCAGAGTCAGGATTCCAAATTCGATGACATTTCATATGCATTTAACTTGGCTTCATATATGTCACACTAAGCAAAGCACAAAACAAAATCACACAACAAACAAGATACAAGAGTCAAGAAATTAATGAACCACACTCAAAGTCAGTCTGTGGGCACACAGGTGAGATGAGGTTTCCACCCAGTCCAGGTCAGCTCTTGGCACTTGCTGCTTATTATATTCAAGCAGTGGAGGATCTGTATTATGTTCGGAGACCAATTGGGCAGAGCCTCTGGCCTCAGTTGCCCTTTCAATGCAGTCAGATGTAAAAGGGTCAGCATCTGGAGAGGCGGACAGTTTGCTGCAGCTTCTCTTGAAGCTCCTTTGGAGTTTAATCAGCCTTGAGCCTTTGCGCTTTGGTTCTGCTGGTTATCCGTGCTGGATATTGCCAACCTGTGCTATTTAGGGGATATCTGGTCTGACTTGCAACACCCTTGG